TCACAGAGATGGGAATGATGCACAGTGTACACTCACAGAGATGGGAATGATGCACTGCGTACACTCACAGAGATGGGAATGATGCACTGCGTACACACACAGAGACAGGAATGAAACCTCCGATGCTAGAGGAGTGGGCTACTAACAGTGCTACCTGTTGAGCCATCATGCCACCCGTGGTCTTGCCAAAATTTTTAAATTGCTCCCTGATTTTTTTTTACCACTCTCATTTTTCTACCGGTCTCATTTTTTATTACAACTTCCAGTCTAATGGTTCGCTGCATACTGAATCCAGAGACTGTGAAAAACACAGGATATGCCATCATTCTTATTAGCAAGAGTTTTCACGGATGAATTTTGAATTTCAGAATGGCAGTCAAGCTTAAATATATAATTCATTTTGCCTGACTTTTCCCTTTTATAAAAGCATTCTATAAAAGCATTATTCTCAAACTGTAATCACTAGGCTGCAGGTTAAATATACCCTTTTGTGTTAAATGCATGCAAATAAATCAACAATTATTTTCAGTTTTTTTTTTTTTTTTGCCAGCAGATGTATATATAATTCACTTCAAACCTGAGTACCTACATCACTCACTGAGTCATAGAGAGGGAGGCAGGACGGCAGGTCAGTGAAATGTCCAGGAGGTTCTCCAGCTTCATAGCCCAGTAAGGTGACATGGTAACATGCTGGTGTAATGAGATAAACAGACTGGTTCAGGTTCAGCAGCAGCCCTCCACCACCAGGCCCTGGATCATTTGGTACCGGGCTGCAGAGAAAGAATGGAAGACGTCTCATTTTTATTTCATTTCCATTTTATTGATTGTTGGAGTCTGCAGGATGTTTTCTTTTAAAAATGACCAGATCATCTCCCCATCGCTATCGTCTGTGCCTTTCACAGTTTTGATAATAGATATAAAAGGTAGAAGCCATGTTTGCAATTGGACGTGTGTCTATTTGGGCACCATACTGGGGCGGTCAACAATCAAGTCACTGATAGTAAACCTCTGGGGAAAATGGCACAGACATGTGCAGCATCTGCGGTACAAAAAGAAGAAATCAGGCATCGTGGGATAACGTCTCACAAATAAAAGGCAATTTTACTGTTATGTAAGTTAATGAACATAAAATATCACGTCAGACTGTCCTGAAAATGACCTGACGTCATCGTGATGTGGCTGCTTAACGAAAACACAACATTATGAATAATCGTTAAAGCACTACGTGACTAGGGGTAAGGGTGATATGTACTTAACAGTGACCTCATTCACTGTACAGTTCACTTTATATAACATTGTCAGCTGGGATGTGTTTGCGCTCATGAGATTATATATGATAACTAGCCTAAATCATAGTGCTAGCTTAATATGCTAACCGCACCATTCATCCACATGCCAGAAGTCATTTTAACACGATCCTGTTTTTGCCAAAGGTTCCCCAAAGATCCTAGATCAAAAGGACCTGGGTCATCGCTCTCCAACTGAAAGATTTTGAGCCTAAAGTCATTTCAAGGCAGATGATTTTTATTATCTGAGCACAATGGCTGGTCCATGGAAAATTGTCTTACATGAAATCAATGCAAAAATGGTTGGAGACCACTGAATTAAATGAGCTACAATGTATTTAGGCTATATTGTGTCGTCGTTCTTCTCTTCCTGACTGTTTCTCAGCCTTGTGTCCTGTGCTGTCTGAGATAATGATGATAGGAAGATGGATGGATGTGCTTGTTTTAAGATGCATTAGAATGTCAAACATCATTATTTAAACCGGTCATCCTACAAAAACTGTATTACTAAAACAAAGCAGGCATTAATTAGATATCCCTCAAATGGGACTGACCAATAAAGCAACGATTTTAATGTCTTACAAGATTTTGCTTTCAGTGATTAAAATTATTATTTAATTATTACAAAATAATATTTACTGATACCCTGTTATCACTGATTATGTCTCTAAATTAGACGTACTGTATGAGTGTATGTGAATGTGTATGCTCTAGAATGGATTGGCTTCCTATACAGGGTGTCCTTGACCTGTGATTTAAGGCTCACCTTGACCGTGCACTTATTGCCGGATGGATGGATGGATGCGGTGAACATAAACACCATGGGAGCATTAAAGCCTTAATCTCATTATTCTCAGAGATATAATTGTATGTGATGTAACATGGATGACTAAATGTCCCTCTCATTCGAGGCATTTGAGACATTCGATGAATATGTAGTTGGTATGTGTGGCTGTCACAAGGCAGCCTGAGCTGCAGCATGGATGCACCGCAAGTGAGATCTTGTGCAAACATCCTCCTCTTCATTCTAGATGGCTGCCAAGGCACAGTCATGGAGTGCGGGATAGTGAAAGGTACAGTAGGACATGCAAGGCTGCACACAAGTATGGGGGCAACCAAGGCCAAAAACCAAATTTGAACCGTATAAAGAATATTAATCACAAACTAACCAGGAAACATCTTTCAGCTAATCATCAGCTATTTGAAGCCATTAACACTGAGTGGAACATTACTGACTTTTCTTCCTGTAAAAAGCTATCTGTGATTTTACCGAGAAGACTTAGACATTTAAGAAAATTTGTTTAATTCTTGTTAATGTCCTGGCCAATTGTTTGCTGTAGAGACCATTGAAATGTTTTGCAGTTTTGGCACATTTTTTCCCCCTGGAGTGTGCGTTGGAACAAAAAAGGGCAACAACGGAAATCAAGGCGTAGAACTCGGACTAGAACCAAGGAGAATGAAAACCAATGAAACTAAGATATTATCGGTCCAGCAAAAAAGCCTTGCGACTAATCGCTAGTTTCAAATTCTACAGACAGATAGACGGCAGAGCTCATAAAGTGGCTGCACTTCCAGTAAGGGTCAAAGGTCAAGGAGGGTATCCACAGTAAAGACGAGCATGCAATCCCAGTGCCAGCCTACAGGACCATTGGAGATGTCACGGGAACCCAGTTGACTAATTCTTCACAAGCTGTTACTTCCATTTTTTTTCCATTTTGGATGAGCATGATCACAGAAACGCCAAATCGTTTGCGATTTTCTTGTCATTGGCAGGACCACTGGCTTATATAAAGGCCTGCCCAATGTCGTGTGAAAATCTCTGGGTCTTTGGTTGCTGGGGAAACAGCCCATGAAATAACTCCTGGAGTAATTTCAGGAAGGTCTATTCTGTTGTAGTTTGTATGTCATACCCAGTTCCTTTGCATTTTAGCATCATTTGTATATGTCAGTTTTCCATCTCAGTCCATCGGCATAATTCTATGTCTGATATAGCAAAAACTCTTTCCTGGCACACATAAGAAAGAAAAGATATTGTTAGGATCCCAGAATCGTTTTGAACTGAAAAAAGCTGAGAATGCTGGAAGAACATTTTTTATATTTTCTAAATTTACAAAGTGGCTAAGCATTTTAGGCTCAATTCCAGTCTGAACAGACACAATTTGTGAGAAGATTGATGCTTCAGAGAGGCCTATTTGCCATCTAAATGTCATAATTCACACTATTTTGAAATGGCAGATCAAAAATTACTGATGGTTCTATACCAAGAAAATAACAGCTTAAGGAAACCTTGTACAAGATTCCTTTGACATTTTAGCTGCAAAAAAAAACAGGCTAAAATAATAAAAAAAGAAACAACAATAGCATAGATTATCATTAAATTAAACATTCAAACATATCTGAAAGAAAATTTAAAGGGGCAGTTCACCCCAAGCATGGAAAGCAGTATGTTTTAGAGGGGCTTTAGTGTTCTATATCCATCTAGGTTGTTCTGCTGGGAGTCGCCTAGTTGAGATACCAGCCATCGAATATAATGGGAGCGAATGGCATTCTTTCTGTGGTGGTTAAAGCATCAGAAAGATACATCTGAAAAATTCAACAGCAGTGACCTGCTTACTCAAGATAATCCACATACTTTGAAGTGAGCAGTTTAATGTAGGAACTGTTTCCTTCTGCCAAACTCCACACTGTATCACTGTGCATCACTGTATCACTGTGCATCGCTGTATCACTGTGCATCACTGTATCACTGTGCATTGCTGTATCACTGTGCATCACTGTATCACTGTGCATCACTGTGCATCACTGTATCACTGTGCATTGCTGTATCACTGCTCGTGCTCGTATCTTCTGTGCAGTGATATAATTGCTGTGTGGATTTTGGTAGAAAAAAATCATGTCCCATTTGATATACATGATGGATGGGTCAGTGTGTCTTGTGGCAGGGAATGAGCTGTTGTCGACCGACTTCCGTACCTGATTATTGCAAAATAATATTTACTGATACTCTCTTATCATTGATTATGTCTCTAAATTAGACATACTGTATGAGTGTATGTCAGTGTGTGTGTCGTACAATGGAGTGACTTCCTATCCAGGGTGTCCTTGACTTGTGCTTTCAGGCTCACCCTGACCATGCATTTATTGGAGGAAGGATGGATGGATGGATGGATGGACGGACGGATCTGGGGTGACATTTAAAAGACTCCCTCATTGTCACATTATGGGGACACCTTTGCTTTGGACTCACATCACAAAGGCTTAAATCACTTCGACACTTCAGTGAGAGAAATCTGGGTTTGCTGGGTGACAATTGTATTTCAATGAAGTGTGTTTGTGGCGGCGTGTCACTCAAGGGGTTAGGAATCCCTTCACTTCTCTAGAAAGTTTCCGGATGCTCATGGGTTCGAGTCCCATGGTCAGCAGAGTGATCATATTATTGTTGGGCTGTAGTGTGAGAACCTTCAGGCCAGTTTCCGCTAGGATGCCGGCTGTCTCTGCTCTCTTCACTTAATTCATTTTGGACAAAAGCGTCTCCTAAATAAACGTAATGTGTTTGAAAATCTGTCTGAAAGGGTAACTGGATAGTTTAAGGGGTGAAACACTTCACTGTAAGGGGGCTGTTGCAGGGCGCAAGCCGGAGAAAAACACCTTTATTCACAGCCAGAAACTGGGCCCTGACCTCGATACCTGAGCTTGCTTCCCATCCATCCCCCATTTTGTTAAACCTGTATCTACTCCCAACCCAAATATATCCCTCCTCACTGATTCACCTGATTCCTTACAGCTCACAGCATGTCGCACACTGGTGTTTAGTAATCATTGTCATATTTTGTGATATTTTTTGTGATATTTCGCATATTAACCATTATACACTAAGTCTGAGATGTAGCTTTATTGGTAATTATCTTTGCCTATTCAGGCACTTGGGAATGTTACTGTAGGTGGACCGATGGGTGGAGGGTGGCGGCCGTGAGATTTAGTAGCTCGTTAGGACCTACATATAAAAAGAAAAGGGCATTTGGTTTTAATTCATATCAATCATAATTTATTTTGTCTGACAGTCATGATCCAAAGTGTGTTACAGGTATCTTTAAAGACCACTGAGTTTGCCTTTCAGGCTGCTAGATTTCTGATTTTTCCATTTACTAGTGTCTCCCGCGGAAAAAGGTAACACCTGCGAAGAGAAGCTTGCTTGTGCATTTTTATTGTGCTCAAGGGCTCTGGGATTGAGGGAAGTTCCCTGCGGACCAAACCCTATTAGCACTAGATACTGTATACATTGCCTGGCCAATCACTGACCTCTGCACCTCTAATAGGAAGTGTATGTGAGAAACATTCAATCTGTGGAAACCTCACACAAAGCTAGGTCACACCAGAAACAAGCACAATTAACCTACGGTGGACAGCATTACGTATAATAGAAGGAGAATAAATTATATTTCAATACTTTACATTTGAAAAGAGTGTAAAATAAAATAATGCTATTTAAATAACTAAGGAAAACAGTAAGCAGTTTTTACCAAATACAAGCAGCACCACTGAGCTGCGCATCGCCCGCACTGCGCATGGCTGCGGTTTGCGTGATTCTGCCAGCCTTTATGTGGGATGCGTGATCATCCCACGGTATATTTTACACTGTTTATCATACCTAGTTGAGTCTTTGGATGGGCTCTGCAGTCCTGAATGTAGCCGTGTGTGAGATCTCAGACCCTACAGCATGCTCACAATCCTGGTGCTTAAGGCATCATTCCGTCATCTCCACTTCCACAGGATCTTATTTATTAAGTCCTGACAGGAAATCGTTAACCAGGGATGACATCATTCATCAGTTTCTGGGGCAGATTAACTTCTCTGGGGGCCCTAAGCTGACATGACATGGCTAGGAGGCTTGAAGGGGGGAGGGGTTGGTATGGGCAGATTGATTGGCCAGATGAGTTTATCCATTTTTCTTGAGACTGGGCCCCTGATGTAGCTGGATTCGGGCCCTTGATTTTACTGGGGCATTAATCCGCCCCTGGTCCTGACTAAAACTTTCACAAGCACCCCTACCAGCTGAAACCACCTAGGCAATTGCACATTTTGTGCCCAGCACTACATTAACCCTGTAGTCCACTGGGAACCTGTAGAATGAGCCGGAAACCCTGTAGGTGTGACTCAGAGGGACAAGATGCTAGGCAGTTGCTCTTCCTGCCTAGACACACAACAGAAGGATTTCTAAGTACACCTGCTGTGATTTAATATCTGTGATATTACAATAATTCAGTAATTATCACTTTCATAAAAGCAGGCAGAGATGAGATCTACCCCCCCCCCCCCCCCCCCCCCCCCCCCCCCCCCACTCCCCCCGAAAAAAACCTAAGTGAAAAAAAATTCATGATCATTAATGTGATCTCTTAAGCCCCTAAATCACCACCAGCTCAGGGATTTCGACAAATCTGGAATGCCGGCACTGCGGACAGATTCATTATTAAAGCCGAACGTGACGAACCGGGAACAGAATTCCGTTTCTGTGGGCGTCATGAAGCCTTTCTATGGCCGTGGTCGATATTGCCGGGCAGGGTTTCGTTTGGATAACTCCAGGGAAGGAGTGAACAGGGCATAAAAGAGATAAAGTACAGCCACCACATGAAAGTGTTTGCTGTCAAATGCTTTTGAATGGGGGAGTTCAATGATTAAGCATATCGTGGAGGAGGGATCTTTGTACGAGTGGAGGAAGGGGAGAGAGAGAGAGCGAGAGAGAGAGAGAGAGATGGGGGGGTGGCTAGGACTGAGAGAGTGAGGGAGAGATGCAGACTGAGCTGCCGATGCTGCTGAATTGAATGGGATGTTTGGATCATGTTGAAGGCGTTTCGAGGGAAGTATCAGGGAAAATGAAAGTACTGTGAGAAGGAGCATGTACCTTTGAGGTAAGTACACGTACAGTCTGCCTTTTGACAGAATGCAAGGATTTCTCTGCATTTTTTCCTACCAGAATGCGTCTAATTCACTTCCTTTATCAATAGATTCATCTGATAAATATATTAAAATGCTTGCTTGCTCTATAGAATCTGATGCAGGTTGTTTAATAAGTAATGTACATAGCAGTCGTAGAGAGTGGTAGTCTGATTTGCAGAGACCCTGAGAAATGCAGACTATGGATATCCTAAATGGCATGCAACTTAGCGTTTTCATTCTGGATTTGCTTAATAAACATTTCTGCTGTCAAGTAATGCTGCAAGGGAATGTATTTGCTAAGGAAGAAAAAACGAAAAACGTGCTGCAAAGTTTGACAAAGCAGCGTGGCAAAGCTTTCAGTCTCTCGCTTGGTTTGGTAAAGCCTCATTTTCTGACATGAGTGGCCGCTCACAGACCTTTTTTCTCGTCACTGAATCATCCTTTGGATAGACCCTAGATCCCCGACCGTTAATCTCCCCCTTGCTCCCGTGAGCTTAGTACCGTTTCGTTCGAAACTGACAAGTATTATGACAGTATTATGAACTGTCATACGCTAAGAGTCTGACATACACACTGTGGGATACTGTGCCACATGAGGCACGTGTAGGTAAGGAACGCCTTGAGTGTGAATATCAATTTTTGTCACACTTTATCACAGCTGCCCCCAAGAGTCGCACCCACACTGACCACAGTGGGATTTGGGAGGGGGCAGTTGGTGTGGTGAAGGCAAATGTGCTGGCTGGCATTGCTACCGACACGGTACTGTATATATACCCTCCCCCTAAACATCACTGCCAGACCTCTTCACACTCTCACTGCCAGACTCTCCACCGAGGAAGAGGAGGCAGGCTGTTTGCACACACAGCCGGTGAAGGATTTAGTCGGTCTTCTTGTGAAGACCGGGACAAAAATCGTGCAGGGGAATAGACACCTACGTCCACTGAAGTATTCCTTTGAAGTCCATATGAGTACCACTTCACCCTGTTCTGAAAAGGTTTCGTACGCAAGATGAATTGAAGGGCCAAAACATAATGAAATGAAATAAATAAAATTAAATAATACATAGGAATTCTGTCGTTGTTGCTGGGGTATAAACATTGATAAGAGTCGAGGGACTCACATCTGTGTGTTCTGTGTCTTTCACACTTAGAGATGCTTTATTTTTGCAAAAATCGAAAGAAAAAGGAGAGATATTACAAATACATATTACCGAATCTAAAGTCTGTGGTATAATCACTTGATGAAAACTAATTATTATACACCAGTCAACCATAACATTAAAACCACTGACAGGATGAAGTGAATAACATTTCACTACAATGAAAGGACTCATTACAATGGCCCAAATGAAGGGTGCCATTAGGCAAGTGAACAGTCAGTACTTGAAGTTGATCTGTTAGAAGCAGGAAATATGGGCAAGTGTAAGGATCTGAGTGACTATGACACGGGCCAAATGGTGATAGCTGGACGACTTGGTCATAGCATGACCATCTTATGGGGTGTTTCCAGTATGCAGTGGTCAGTACCTACCAAAAGGAAGACTGACTGGTGAACCAGCGAGGGGCGAATTGATGCGTGGGTAGAGCAAAGGCTAGTCTGTCTGGTCTAATCATACAGGAGAGCTACAGTAGCGCAAAATCAGAATCAGAAACAGAATCAGAAAAACTTAATTGATCCCGGAGGAAATTGCTCATGTTACTACTAAACGGTCACACAGAGACACAAGACAAGAACATAAAAAAACAATATCAGATATAAACTCTGCACTATATACACCATGATATATACATGAGAAACAGAAATACAATATATATAAATAGAATAAATACTGTTAAGTGTAGTAATACAGGTAAATTACCAGATGAATATTGCACATCTGAATAGCATGGTATGGGTGTGTGGCTGTGAGATCAGTGTGAGGAATTATAGAGTCTGATGGCTGTAGGTAGGAATGATCTTCTGTGTGCTGAAAAAGTTAATGCTGGCTATGATAGAAAGGTGTCAGAACACACAATGCATCACAGCTTGCTGAGTAGGAGGCTGCATAGCTGCAGGCCGGTCAGAGTGCCCATGCTGACCCCTGTCCACCACCAAAAACACCTACAATGCGCAAGAGAGCGTCAGAACTGGACCATGGAACAATGGAAGAAGGTGGCCTGGTCTGATGAGTCACAGTTCCTGTTATATCATATGGATGGCTGGGTGCTTGTGTGTCATTTACCTGGGGAAGAGATGGCACCAGGATGCACTATGGGAAGGCAGCAAGTCGGCGGAGGCAGTGTGACGCTCTGGGCAATGTTCTGCTGGGAAACCATTCATGTGGATGTTACTTTGACACGTACCACCTACCTAAACATTGTTGCAGACTAAGTACTCCCCAATGGCAGTGGCCACTTTCACGAGGATTATGTGCCCTGCCACAATACAGAAATTGATCACGATTGGTTTGAGGAACATGAAAAAGAGTTCAAGATGTCGACTTGGGTTCCAAATTCCCCAGATCTCAATCAGATTGAGCATCTGTGGGATGTGCTGGACAAACAGGTCTGATCCATAGACCTGATCCAAGGACTTAAAAGATCAGCTGCTAACGTCTTGGTGCCAGATACCACAGGACACCTTCAGAGGTTTTGTGGAGTCCGAGCCTCAACAGGTCAGAGCTGTTTTGGCAGCCCTAGGGGGACCTACACCATATTAGGCAGGTGGTTTTAATGTTATGGCTGATCGGTGCATGATTTGTCTTGTCAGAGATGCTTTAGTTGTGAAAATAAAGTATTATTATACAGGAAATGTATAATAAAATACATATCTAAAATTCTTGCTGTGATTGGTTGTTTGTATTTGGCTTATATTGTATCTACTTATATTGCAGGAATGTTCTACTTGATATCTCAGAGTAACACATTCAATCGTTCCATATTACTGCTTCTGAGGGATGATTTTCGAGAGATACAGTGCATTGAGATATACCAACATGCAGTGTGTGAAACAGTGATAACAATAAAGTGAGAGATACCAACATGCAGTGTGAGATAGTGATACAGTGAGAGATATGCCAACTTGCAATGTGTGTGATAGTGATTGTGATGCAGTGAGAGACACCAACATGTAGTGAGACAGTAATAGTGATACAGTGAGAGATACCAATATGCCAAGTGAGAACCAGTGATAGTGATACAGTGAGAGATACCAACATGCAGTGTGTCTGTGTGTGTGTGATAGTGATGTTCTGAAGGATTCCTGAAAGATCATGCAGTGTGTGAGGCAGTGATAGTGATGCAATGAGAGAAACAATTAACCATGTTATTAATGAAAGGGAAGCATGCAGTGTGTCATTGAGGCACTGTGGGTTCGTGTTGGTTTTTACATGTGACATATGACATTCTACAAATTTCTATGGCACCATTATATGGCAGCTGAAAGCTGTGCATTTCATAAGACACCTTTCTATAGAACGGCCAGTTCTCTTCAGTAAGGAATGCATGAAGTTAGTACATGATGACTCAGGGCTCATGTACTGTTGCTCTTCATGTTGTGTCCTTCAGGGGTTCCTTCTGGATCTTAAAGGGACCAGCCTCTGCTTGTCTGACTCTCTGATTTCTTTGACTGTGAAAAATGAACAAAATCAGAGCAGCATCTTCAGAGGCACTGTGAGACTAACCTGAACAGAACAGCTTGAAGGTATAAAACCAGCATAATAATAAAACAGAACAGTGAAAGTATAACGTAATATATGTCTATGGGGTTGTAGGTTGATGAATACAAACACACGGAATTGTGGGATTACTGTCATTTTTTTGCCCAGATCGTCTCAAGGGAGACAATAAAGAATCTCTACTTATAAAAAGGTAGCAGTCAGCTAAGCAGGAAAGGTCTTCTGCAGTTCACCCATCCATGTTTCCATCTATATCCCATAACCATCCTGAAAAATAATGGCCCTGAGGCAGAGAGTTCCCACATAGGATGTCAGTCCATCACAATTTATTTGTCATATCCATCATATATAAGTTGACATCACTTGGGTTTCAAAATGCTGTCCTGTTTTTTAAAATTATTATTAATATAATCACGGAGTGTGTGTGTGTGGGGGGGGCAGACAGAGGGAGTATTTCTGTTCAGTTCCTGGCTTGAAATACAAATAATGCTGAAGTTACTGTTTACTTACACTGACCAAATGTTCTGTACTGCCTTCACCATTCAAAGGATGTGGCAGTACTAACAGGAAAAAACACATTATACCTTTGGAAGGTTTTGTCTCCTCTTGAGGCGGCATGTTAATGGCTTGTATCTGAAGCGGATCAAATGCACAATGCTTTTCAGTGGGAGATTTAAAACATTTCCAGCCAAATTTCATCTCTGAAATCTTTGAAGTTTCTTCCTATGGTTGCATATTTTAATCTCCTCCCTCTGATCACAGAACATCCAGCTGGTTCAGGCATAATTAAGGCTATTATCATTTACCTCCTTTTTTACTCATTGCTGTTTTCTGTGTCACATAATCCAAGGAAAGCAAGTAATTACTACCTTTACTAAACACACCAAAGGCCTCTTTATGCCGTGGTTTAGAGTCTGACAAATGGATTTTATTCATCCCACTCTCCTCCATTCGATGTAGAAAAATCTGTTTGCATAAATAAACTGTGAGCAAAGTATGTGTGGTATTTGAAATTTGAAATAAATATCTACAGTTTGTAGTATTGTCACAGTGTGAGTCATGATCACTCGAGTGGAAGCATCTGCACCATAGTGTTTAGATGCCACTTTTCTATTTTTCAAAAATACACAGAGAGTATCTCAGGTTTTCTTCAGTGTTTTCTAGAATGTTCCATGGATTACATATAAGCACTAAACATATAAATACATACAGATGCTCCCCGGGTTACGATTGGGTTACATTCCGATACACCTATCGTAAGACGAAAATATCGTAAGGCAAAAATATCGTAAGGTGAAAATGCATTTTAATACAGGACACCTAACCTAGCAAACATCATAGCCTAGTCTACAGCCTAACTTAAACATGCTTAAAACCAGTACATTAGCCAACAGTTTGGCAAATCCATTAACACATTGCCTATTTTATAAGTGCTGAATATCTATGTAATTTATTGAATAATCATACCGATCGTAAAGTCGAAATATCGTAACACGGACTGTGGTAGAAAAATTATAAATCAACCTCTCTGATAACACAGAGAGTCACTTAGGACCGTCGAGACCCGGGGAGTGTCTGTAATCTGTATTACCAAAGAAACTGGAGACACACATTTAAAGAAAGCTATCTTGTTTTTATTTATTGTTTACTGTTACTGTTATTTATTACTTTTATTTACTTTTATGCATTTGTTTACGCTTTTTCAAACCACAGGTCTTCATGCGTCACACATTGCCAGAGGGAAGCAAAATTAAAAGACATTTATTTTCTGCACCTAGGGTCCCCTGAGTCGGAGATGTCTGACCTCGAGGACTTTGGCAAAATGGGGGGGCAGTGGAATGCATCCGAGAGCTACCAGTTCAACCCAGCCAGCGTCATCGTGTCGGTGGTCTTCTCGCTGATCTTCCTCCTGGGCACGGTGGGCAACAGCCTGGTGCTGGCGGTGCTCTTCCGCAACGGCCAGATGGGCTACAACAGCACCAACCTGTTCATCCTCAACCTCAGCGTGGCCGACTTCTTCTTCATCATCTTCTGCGTGCCCTTCCAGGCCACCATCTACTCGCTGGAGGGCTGGGTCTTCGGCTCCTTCATGTGCAAAGCCGTGCACTTCTTCATCAACCTCACCATGTATGCCAGCAGCTTCACGCTCGCTGCCGTCTCCGTCGACAGGTAGCTACCCCGTTTTCCACCACCTTCGGAGTTATTTTGAAAAGTAAAGGATTATAATTCTGAAATTCAATGTGTTAGTTACAGGAAAACAGGAAGTCAAGCTTTTTTGTACCTCTCATGGCGAGAAGGTGAGATGCACCATTACGTTACATCCAGCAAGGGATGGACGTCTGGGAGTGTTCATTTACATAGCAGTCGACTGAACAGCGAGCCCATTGCATCAATTACACCGCATGTGTCAGTTCTTATTTTCACTGCAGGACAAAGTAGAGAGCCCTTCAATACCGTGGGGACAGTAATTATTCCATCCCGTCCGGGGAAAACAAAGATCTATAAAGTGTGAAGCAGCCAGTGCTGGAAGAACATCGATCGCTGCATTTCTAGCAAATACAGTTATTGTACCTGCCAAACTCTTTCTGAGAAAAAGCGACTTTTATTACATCCTGCTCAGGCAACAGGCCTTTGTCTGTGTTTATATTTGTACTGGGGCCTTAATACAAGTTTTACTTCAATATTATCATGAGCTTGCAATAGCAATTAGCTTCATGTTAGAAGATTAAGGGCCGTGTGAAGCTGAGGAGGACGGCTGGCGTTTCCTCAACATGTAGCGCAGCTGTTGTGATTTCAAGGTGCGTCTTGAAGATATAATGTAAGACGTACTGTGGTTGCGAACGCAGCCGTGTGACTTGGGGGAGAGCAAAAGGAATGGGGGCTTTTTGGAGGACTGGGGTAGAGATGGATCATCAGGAGGATTAGGGAGAAATTAAGACATGTAAAGGTGGGCGGGAGAAGACCCTGAATAACAGAGGTCAGGTTGAGTATTATGATATACAGCCTTGTGTCGATTTCCATTTGCATTACATTTCACTACTGGAAACAAGTCAGTTTGACGTATCTCGATATTGTAGCTGTCCATCACATATATGTTACTGTAAGCATGCTGTATTACACGTTAGACATGGACAGTGGGTCATTATACGGCTGGCAGTGCTGCCCATTCTCCTGCATCTGTTACACTAAGCAATGCACCCGCTGCTGTCCTACTACGTCCACTTTCAGGTGTCTCTCCAGCAGTGTTTATTTTTTACTATGGACCCCAGACGTAAATGCAGTTAAATGTTACTCAGTCAAGACTGTACATGCCTGCGACGAAAATGTTATGACTTCCTGTCTTGTCTTCACTTTACACATAAAATGCAACTTGACAGAGGACTGAAATAATCTGTTTTCAAAGAGTGCCAAATTTTCCCTATAAAATATGAGTGAAATTATAATTTTCCACATATCCATCCATCATATCTGTTTATCCCAACCAAGGCGAACAAAATTAGAATAGAATAGAATGCCTTTATTGTTTGTGTTTTTGTCACTGCACAGAACCGGGGTAACAAAATACAATTAGCTTCTTATTGAGTGATACTTCTAGTAAATAAAAACAGTAGACAGAAATATATAAAATACGTATACACAGGAATGTCAATAAATGTGAGACATATTAAGTATGAGATTAATTATATCACTGCAGTAATGTGTTCAGGTTAATTAGAAAGGAGCAAGCAGGGATGTGCTGGACCTCTGTAGGATCCAGTCTGCATCATATGACATGTGCTGTTGATGGACAACAACTGCTGCTTCAGCTCAGTGCACTTTTCTGTGCTGGAGTCAGAAGCAGAAGAACCTCATACCAGAAGTTTCCATTTTGTTTATGTCCCAGGAAGGTTAATAAAAACGTGTAAAGCTGTATCAACGGAATTTGGGAAAACGTAGCAACAATTATTTCTTAGCAGACAGAGAGGAACCGTGGGCTTCCATATTAACTGAATATTTAAAAAGCCTTGAGTTCCTGGCTGAATTAAGTAGCTATTAAAAATTTATAGGTATATAAAAATGCTAAAAAGAGTTTATTGAGAAGTGAATACTTTGGACTAATTCAATACTTTTCTCTCTAGGTATCTAGCTATTCGCTATCCATTGCGGTCCCGGGAACTTCGGACGCCTTGCAATGCAGTGGTTGCCATGGTGGTGATCTGGGGGCTCTCCCTAGTGTTCGCCGGACCCTACTTGAGCTACTACGACCTCATCGATTTTGCCAACGGCAACGTGTGCGTCCCCGGGTGGGAGGAATATGACCGCAAAGTGCTGGACACGTGCACATTTGTGTTCGGTTACGTGATCCCTGTTCTGATAGTCAGCCTTTCCTACACCAGGACCATCAAATTTCTGTGGACAGCCGTAGACCCTCTGGATGGCATGACGGAATCTAAGAGGGCCAAGAGGAAGGTCACCAAGATGATCATCATCGTCACCGTGCTCTTCTGTATCTGCTGGCTACCGTATCACATGGTCATCCTGTGCTATCTGTATGGTGACTTTCCCTTCAACCAGACCACCTATGCCTTCCGACTGCTCTCCCACTGCATGGCTTACGCCAACTCCTGCCTCAACCCCATCGTCTACGCCCTGGTGTCCAAGCACTTCCGCAAGGGCTTCAAGAAGGTTTTCAGCTGCCTCCTCAGCAAGAATGGAAGGAACAAGGTGCACGTCGTGCATGTAGCCAACACGGCACCCGGGTTCGAGGCCGGATCCACTGAGGTATCTCACATGAACGAGGAGAACGCCTGTCAGGATGCTTGCGAGATGGGAGCCCGCCCCCGCCCAGCTCCGGAAAGCTCCAGGCTCACCATCAGCCTGCCGATAGCAAGACCATCCTGAATAAACCAAACGAGTGAGCCCTCTCAGAACATCCCATTCAGCCTCTAAAAAGCCTTCCTTATTACTAAACCCATGGCAGAGACTTTAAGATCTCTGGAAGGGCTTTGAAAACATTCAAATAAAAAATCAATTAAGTTACACAAAAACGTATTTCTCTCTCTCTCTGGAGGGATATGATTTAATTTATCAGGCAGACTAGGCACAATTTCACTTGCTGAAACAAGTTCATAGCAGAGCAACAGAAAAAAATATTTCTGGAATTAAAGGGCTGCCTTCAATGAATAGTTCTGCCTTTTTGGTTTTTGGCAAAGCTAAGGATGGATTATTACAATTCAAGCGTCTACAAACAGACAAGAAGCAGAAAGCTGTTTCATTTCACCCTTAAGTTTCCATTTGAGTCTGTGCTCTCCTCTGTCATTCAGTTTGCCTTTTATCTCTGTGAATTTCGCTTTCTGTAATTAAAATAGGTGTACTTGTTGGATTCCAACTAAAGACACATCAGTCAACACTAAAGCAGGCGAATGTTCTGATTTTCAGTCCTTGTATTAGACATATGTGAATGTCTCTCTGTAATCGGTGTGGCTTAGTGTTCCTTAGTAGTTTTGACCAACCAAATTTCTGTCTAGTTATGTAAAAAAAAAGACTAATTATTTATTAAATAAAAAGTAAGTTTATTCCTTATTTTCTTAATGTTGTATGTTTATACACCATATATAATGATTAATGATTTTTACAACACGACCTTCAAAACAACCATAAATTGTCCTGTGACTCTAACCAGAAGTTGGAAGATGTATGTATGTATGCATGTATGAATGTATGTATGGATTGATGTATGGATCTATGTATGGATTGATGTATGTATGCATGTATGGATGGATGGATGGAGAGTTTTGTATATTTCATACAAAGAGCAATTCAATAAAGTTTTTTTCTGTTGAAAGGGCCAACAAAACATATTAATAAAAAGATTATTAGGAATTTTATCATTAACAGATTTTAAAAATGCTTCCCAGGATATTCCAAATTAATATCATTTACCTCGAGAGAATAAACATCGTAGCACAAGGCTCATATAAACAAAACAAATGGTTTAAGACAAATGGTTTTTAGTCCAATTCATTATGACATCCATGTTGAGTCACCTAGCAACTGTCCAATACAAGGAACAATTTAGTTAAAAGCATTTGAGCGGAGGCAGAACAGATTATGAGGAAATTGCATTTGAATTAAGTCCACTTGGCCCATTATATATGTGTTATTGTATTAATATCTGAGATAGGCATGCTTTTCAAATAATACTGTCTAGTAAGTTGACTTTCGTAGTCTCAGCGTGGTCTATAATCACCCGAGCTTTGGGGACCCTGGAGCCTGTCCCATAGAGCATAGGGCACAAGGCTAGGGGCACACTGATGCATAGACAGAGCCATACACTATGGGCAGTTTAGCGATGACTAACTGCATGTCTTAGGACTACAGGAGTGACCCGGAGTAAGCAGAGGGCGCAGACACATGAAGCTCCACTCTGAATATGTGTCTCATGAGGCAGAAACCGTTTCACCAGTTACCAGCTACATGTGTCGTCTTCTACAGCCAAGCCCACCCATGGCTTCAGTCTGTAAAAACCCACATCTATCAGACTATTCAATCTCCTTCTTATACAGTTTTGCAGTTTGGTTCTTCCTGATGAATCTTGCTGTTTGAGTCCGTTGATCTGGATTTCAGTGAATCTCTACTTTACTCTTTTGCTGGTTCTGTTCAGTTCTATGATTTGATCTTATTTCGTTCAACAGCCCTGTCTTTGGTGATACCCATAGTTCTCCATAGCGTTTGAGTCTCGTGTCCCCCCCCCCAGCTACGTACCTTGAGTATTGGCAAGCAGACCAGCTGAAGAGGAGAAGACTGACAGGCAGAACAGCAGGCCATGGCAGCATGTACAATCTGGCGTGTGACCTTGCCTGTGTCAGCAATACCCATTAATATTATTTAATATCCTTTAACTCTGGTGTTGTGCAGTGCGCAGTGTGAAGTGACAGTGCTGCCTGCCAGCATACGTTCTGCTAGAATGGCATGTTACAAAAAATAATCATTAATATGAACATTTATTTGCCTGTTGAACTTATGAGAAGGAAAAATACCACAGAAAAAAATAGCATCGCAAGTTTGTGCCAAAATTTCAGCGTACAAATGAAATTTAGCTGAATCGCAGCAGAATTTACCACCCGCGTTCTTTGCGAGGGCACGAAAAAGTACTCAAATTTTGTAATATTCTATAAGGCCATGTAAAGGGCTCACGCAGTGGGTTTTACAGAACTGTTACAGTAGCACAAAAACAGCCCAGACCTCAAACCCAGAACTCTAGAGGTGTGAGGTCACAACTCCACTCCCTGAGTCACCATGATACAATTCATGTCCCAGCAAATCTTCTGACAAATGTCCAACTACAGGTTCAGAATATCATTGTGATGAATTTGTTTATTGTTCAATCATTGCAATACATTCGTTTGTTGTTCAATCATTTTGTTTCTGAAATATATGTGCAAAATATTTTCGCGTACTGCAAAGTTTCTGATGGAGAGTTGCTCTCTCCAAGCCAGGACTGTATTTTTCCCATTTTGATTTTATTCACATGTCACGTGGCGGTAATTTAAATCTCAGCTAGAGGTATATATTGTCTCGACAGTGCTGAAATTCCGATGTATCTTTCAGGCTCTTTGTCACATGTCGGGGAGACCGCAGAAGCAGAATTAAGGGGAACGGTAGAGACTTTGATTTCAATAAAGGAATCGGGGGGATCAAAACGCAAACACTGCAGAACAGGTCCGACCATAGACACAGCAGGGAGTGACATCAATGACGGGACTGGGGAGGACAAGGCTGGCAGGCATTTATAAACTGGGTTAACGAGGAGATAAACAGGAGGCAGCTGGAGTGAGAGGAGAGACAAACACAGAACAGGTGTGGCTCGTTAGAGCCCTGCTAGGGAGAAAGGGGAGGGGCGGGTGAGCGGGGCGTGACACTCTTTTTAGGTGTCAGAGGTTCTAGATGTTTTTGCCGTTATATTCACGGCTGTAATGTAAATCACACAACCGGATTACTTGTATATTTTTCAAATACATCACAATAATTACCAGACTGTATCCTGGGTTTGACTGAGTGGGGCAGTTGGTTATTTCAGTCACGTATTATGCGGAAACAGTAGCCTCTTTTGTCATCCTCCACAAAAGCGGCATGCGGTCAAGGTTTGAGTGCCTCGCAGCTTTGGAGACTCTCACTCAACGCACAAGGCCCAGCACACATGAACAGCATGAGGACAAACAGGATCCTGTGAAGCAAACATATTATGGCACATAGACACATTTACACTAATTAGCCTAATTATCCAGTATTTGCACTGTGGCAGAAAAACAGAGAATATGGTGGGAAATGCACAAACTCTGTGCGGGGAGCAGAGGCAGGACTTGAACCGTCATCCTTGGCTATTTGAGGTAACAACGCTAGACCTTGAGATACCCTGGAGTCGAATCTGAAGATGCTTAGTATTCAATAGGAGTGTAATGCAAAGACGCAACTAACCAATGCCGACGTCTTCTAAACGATTAGATGTATATCTGTGAATAAAAAAATGATTAGATATGTTTCCACTTTCTCTTTTATATGTTCACCTCCAAACCCTTGGACATTGAAATAAATCAATGGCTGCTAACCCTTGCTTGTCTCACAGGTAAAACAAGATCTGTAACTTGGTGCCTTTCAGACTGACCTGAAGCACTCTGCATGGGCACATCTGGCTGTACTCCCTATGGTTAGCAGTACGTTTTACTACCTGTGTTTTGGCAAATGCTTGTGTTTCATAATTTGTCATGGGAATCAATAACTGCTTTTTCAATGTTTGCTCATCCGTTTGACTTTGGATTTTCATTCCTCGCTATTTCAACCTATTTTCTATTTAAGTTACACTCTAATGTAACAGCTGCCGTAAAAGTAAGCCGTTTTTTGGAAAATTGAAAGCGGTACTCACGTACAACATAATCATAATTATATTTACTTTAACCCTACAATACATTTTTTGTACTTCTGTTATAAAACGTATAATTTATCCGTATATCACACAAGTTTATGTACAGTGTGAGGGCTGAGGTGAGTCAGCTCACAATTGAAGGGAAATACTAACCATTTGAGATTAAGATTACAATTGACCTTATTGATCCTTTGGGGTCGTAACTGTATGTAGCTGGTGCTGTCGAATGAAGTTCAGGAAACACAACCCCACCTCCCTCAAAAAGAGCACCTAGTTGTGCCATCCTGCCTTATTTAAGCTTCCCTTCGTTAGTATAATTGGCTGTCTCCACTCCCTCTTCACCCCGAACTCGGCGCGCCTGCTCCGGTAGCCGAGCCCCCCATGTTGAGCAGGGAATCGGCCCAATCGGTCACTGGCCCCAAACAGGATCCATCCCAAGAGCTTTTACAGTAATGTCATTTGCCTAGTGAATGACTCGCTTTAATTGAGAGGGCAAAATGAACCATTTGACATGGAGATAAGGGGTGCAATCGGGACTTTATGTGGGGTTCGGCTTTAGGAAACAGCGGGGAGAGATAAAATGAAAGGGCAGCCTTTACAGTTTCAGCAGAGGGGGAAGGCAGTGAGGAAAAAAACTGTCACTGAGTCTTGGAAAGAGGTGACAAGGTCTGAGTGTCTGACCTCGGGGGTGGGGGCGCATAACAGATGCCTTTTGGGTAATTATGCAAAGGTGACTGCATGGCCTTGTCATGGGGCTTCGTCCTTCACAGAATGTCCACCCGCCGCCCCCATCTTACACCTAAAAGCAGCTTTGTGTTTTAAGCCGACATCCTCTCTTACACCTGAAGATACAGACACAGGAATCCATTCCGGTCAGTGCTTAACTTTCAAAATCCCTGATGCATAAAGGCACATTTGATGCCTTTTATATGCTGGCAAAAACTTCATTTTTGTCACACCCCCAGGATTACTCAAGGGCATGCTGCAATCCAATACGCATCCACAAAGGAGAAACTATTCCGAGATATGTTTTTGTGTTTGTAAGAATTTTTAAGGAGAACTACTGTACAAAGAATCTCTATCTTTAGTCATAGAGATATATCTATATTGTTCTTGCTGGGTACATATGCTAGTCTTAGCTGAGAACTGACTGGTACTATGTAATTTCAGCAGACATCAATCGCATAGAAAAGAAACGAGACGTTTGTTTAGTCTGACCCTTTTTCGACATTCCCGTCATTTATTTGAACATGAAGTCGTGTTTACCATACTTCAAAAAGACACTTAGCTTAACGCCTCTCGTAATTCAGTCGTTCGGCTTGATAAGGTCTATGAAAACGCAGTTACCCAAATGAAAGAGCACATTCGAAGCTAATGATTATGTTTCACTACAGCGTGTCATCACTAATGGACTCAGTTGCATAACAATGTGAATAAAAAAATTTAAAAGCAGTACTTAATTTCGACATTTGAATTTGTGTGATGAGCAGAAAAGGGCACATCTTCAGATATTCAGCATGGACAAAAAGTAGCAGGCAATGTTTCCAGATAAAATAGCTCATTCATAATTTCACGACACACATACGATCATTGAACAGGATTGCTGATTTAATTTGATCCGCCGGTGAGCCGCACGCTGTGAGTGCGTCCCTGGACCGAT